TAATGACTAAGCTGAGAATAAAATCAAGAACTCAACCCCTTTTACAATAGCTGCAAATAAAATAAATAAATAAATAAATAAATAAACTTAGGAACGTATACCTAACCAATGAAGTGACAGACATGTACAAGGAAAACTACAAAACACTGCTGAAAGTAATCATATAAGACACAAACAAATGGCATTCTCATAGACAGGTAGAATCAATATTGTGAAAATGACCATAATGCCAAAAGCAACCTACAAATTCATTGCAATTCCCATCAAAATACCACCATTATTCTTCACAAAACTAGAAAAAACAATCCTAAAATTCTTATGCAACCAAAAAAGAGCACACATAAACAAAGCAAGACTAAACAAAAAGAACAAATCTGAAGGCGTTACATTACCTCATTTCAAACTATACAATAAGGTCATAGTCACCAAAACAGCATGATGCTGGTATACAAATAGGCACATAGACCAATGGAACAGAATAGAGAACCCAGAAATAAACTCAAATACTTACCACCAACTGATCTTTGACAAAGCAAACAAAAACATAAAGTGGGGAAAGGGCACCCTATTCAACAAATGGTGTGGGGATAGCTAGCAAGCTGCATAGCTAGGAGAATGAAACTGGATCTTCATCTCTCACCTTATACAAAAATCAACTCAAGATGGATCAAGAACTTAAATCTAGGCCCGAAAACTATAAAAATTCTAGAAGATAACATCAGAAAAACCCTTCTACACATTGGCTTAGGCAAAGATTCCGTGACCAAGAACACAAATGCAAATACATAAAAACAAAGATAAATATCTGGGACTAAATTAAACTAAAGAGCTTTTGCATGGCAAAAGGAAGAGTCTGCAGAATAAACAGACAACCCACAGAGTGGGAGAAAATCTTCACAATCTATACGTCTGACAAAAGAATAATATCCAGGCTCTAAAATGAACATAAATAAATTATCAAGAAAATAACAAACAATCCCATTTAAAAAGTAGGCTTAAGGACATGAATAGACAATTCTCAGAAAAAGATATACAAATGACCAACAAACATATGAAAAAATTCTCAACGTGACTAATGATCAGGGAAATGCAAATCAAAACCACAATGCAATACCACCTAACACCTGTAAGCATGGTCATAATAAAAAAAAAATTTTAAATTGATGCTAGCGTGGATGTGGTGAACAGAGAACACTTCTATACTGCTGATGGGAATGTAAACTAGTACAACCACTATGGAAAACAGTGCAGAGATTCCTTAAAGAACTGAAAGTAGATCTACCATTTGATCCAGCAATCCCACTACTGGGTATCTACACAGAGGAAAAGAAGTTGTTATATGAAAAAAATACTTGCACACACATGTTTACAGCAGCACAATGTGCAATTGCTAAAAGGTGGAACCAACCCAAATGCCCATCAATCAATTAGTGGATAAAGAAACTGTGTATATATGTGGCATATATATGTGTGGGGTGTGTGTGTGTATATATATACACATATATATACATGGTGTGTATATGTATATATATGTGGTATAGAAACTGTGGTGTGTATATATATAGTGTGTATATATATGGTATATATATGGGCTGTGTGTATATATGCCATATATATATGATGAGTATATATATGATTCCATCATATATATGATGGGATATATATAATGGGATATATATATATATATGATGGGATACTACTCAGCCATAAAAATGAGTGAATTAAAAGCATTTGCAGCAACCTGGATGAGATTGGAGACCTTTATTCTAAGTGAAGTAACTCAGGAATGGAAAACCAAAAATTGTACGTTCTCATTCATAAATGGGAGCTAGAACTAGGCTATGAGAATGCAAAGATATAAGGATGACACAAGGGAAAGCGGGTGAAGGGAATGAGAGATAAAAGACTACAAATTGGGTGCAGGGTATACTGTTTGGGTGATGGGTGCACCAATATCTCACAAATCACCACTTAATAACTTATGCATATAACAAAACACCACCTGTTTCCCCAATAACCTACGGAAATAAAAATTTTTTTAAATGCATGTTGCTTGTATGTTTTTATTTTATTTTTTGCTCTTGAGTTGCCTGAGTTCTTTTCATTTTCTGGATATCAGATCCTTGTCAGATGAGTAGTTTGCAAATATTTTTTCCTATTCAACAAGTTGACTCTTCACTGCAGTGATTGTTTTCTTTGTTGTGCAAAAGCTTTTTAATATATATCCGTTTTGTCTATTTTTGCTTTTGTTGCCTGTGTTTTTGGGGTTCCAGCTGTAAAATATTTGCCTACACCTGGGCAAAGATTAGTTCTGAGTAGACATTTTTCAAAAGAAGACATGCACATGGCCAACAGGTATATGAAAAAAATGCTCAGCATCCCAGTCATTAGGGAAATACAAATCAAAACTACAATGAGATATCTACTTACCCTAGTTAAAATGGTTATTAACAAAAAGACAAAAAATAACAGATCCTTGTGAGGATATGGAGAAAAGGGAACTCTCTTACACACTCTTGGTGGGAATGTAAAATAGTACAGCCGTTATGGAAAACAGTATGAAGATTTCTCAATAAACTAAAAATAGTACTACATACAATCCAGCCATCTCACTAGTGGATATTTATCCAAAAGAAAGGAAATCAGTATATCCAATGGACACATTACACTCATGTTTATTGAAGAACTATTCACAATAGTTAAGGTTTGGGATCAACCTAAGTGTCTATCAACAGACGAATGGATAAAAAAAAAAAAATTGACATCTTTGCACAGTACTATTTTGCCATGAAAAAGAATGAAATCTTGTCATTTGTAGCAACATGGATGGAACTAGAGGTCATTATGTTAATTGAAAGTTCTGAAGCAGAACAAAAACAAACTCTTGGTATGCCAAAGAGGTAGATAATAAAATAAGCCAGACACAGAAAGTCAAATATTACATGTTTTTATTCATCTGTGGGAGCTAAAAAAGTGGGTGTCATGGTGGTAGAGAGTAGAATGATAGTTATCAGAGGCTGGGAAAAGTGTGAGCGTGTATGGAAGGGGATTTAACAGATGTTGGTTAATAGGTACAAACACAGTTAGAAGGATTAAGCCATAATGTTTGATATTTGAGTACAGTGACGATAGTTAATTACTATTTATTATGTATTTCAAAATGGCTAGAAATGAGGACTTGAAATTTTCTCAACACATAGAAATGATAAATGCTCAAAGCAATGGATATCCTAAATATCTAGACTTAATCATTACATGTTCTATGCATGTAAGTATCACATGTACCCCATAAATATATAGAAATATTATGTTTTTAAAAAAATGCACATTGCTCTCATTTGTTGACTGACTGACTAGGTGAAAATTTTTAGTATGATGAAAAATCCCTGTTTACTCTGTATATGGGCATATTGAAAGGTTATAAGGCTCAGAGAGACCAGTGTTCTTGATAGCCTGCAACTACAATAATTGTTTGTCTCTCTTCCATATTCTGGATATATATAGCCAAGTTCAAAAGTAATTCTCAGGAAAAAGTCTGATCAATGTGGGGGAGGCAATAAAATTACTAATAAAGTTATATTTGCCAAAATATGGCACTCTAACTTTGAAAATGCGAAGGTCCCTTTATATGAAAGACACAAGACCTGAGGATCAAAACTCCCTGAGCAATCTAGCACTTCCTCGAAAGTAAATCCGTTAATATCCCTCTACCCTTCATACATGAGAGTCCCCAGGTCAGTGCCTGGTTTCCTCCTGTTATCTTCATCAGCCTCGGAGCTTTCAGTCATTTATCGCTTCCTTCTTCCTTCTCATCCCCCACCGTCAATCGAATACTATGTCTTTCTCACTCCACCTTGGCCATCCTTCAAATTCCACAGACTCACTGCTCATCTTGGGTTTGAACTATTGTATCTGTCCCCTTGAATCATCATCCATATTTTATTTTATCTGCAAACTTAAATCCATTTTGTGCACATAAGCAGATTACTTTTTCCCAAAATCTTATTTCCTGAGTCACTTAATATCCTAATGTTTATTGTTTAGTATTGCAATAGCATAGTAAAAGCTTGTATTTTTGTAGCCAGGCCCTGTACTATCTGGTCTTTCCTAGTCCTCCCTACCTATGTCTTACTCTCCCTTCTACTTCCAGAGAGCCAGTTTCATGCAAGTCACAAAGCCCTAGCTAGCTGGTTTTAGAATTTAAGCCTTTATCAGTATTCTATCTCCTACAGAAAGTCTTCATCACACCCTACAAAAACGTTCCCACTTAGATCCTAACTCTAACTTTATTTTAGTGCATGTTACATTCTATCAGAAGATAATGCACAATGATATCATGTGTCTTAGCCTCGGCTAACCCATGAAATAATGGAATCCTTCAGGAAAGAGCAGGCTATTGTTGATACACACTCAATTCATCTTCTTATCTCCAAATCAATTTCATAAAACATGTGACAAGCTAGTTACTTCAAAATGTAAATAACAGTAAATTAAAATAGTAATTCTAGCCTATATCTTGGCTATCTACGAAGTTTTGTTTTGTTTTGTTTTTGTTTTTAATGAAAAGTGACATGTACCACAAATCTGCTTTCTCGGGTACCACTAACACCTCCTTCTTTTCCCTGTGCAGTAAAAACTGTCTAGGAGTCTCTGTCTACTTAACTAACCATTTTCCCACCCTTATAAAGATTTTTCTTCATCATATCATCCTCCTTGGAATCCTGGAATTCTCCCATAACATCTGCATTAATTTTACAAGCCCCCATACATTTCTTAAGGAAGCTCTTGGTTCTTCCTATGTTTCTCTCCATCCCTTAGCCCATGAACACTTTTTCCTTTAACACAAGAGTAAAAGATGCAGTATATAAAATTGCAACTTTTGATTACTGAAGAAAACGTGCTTTATTAGACAGAAGACTTTCTCTCAAGGCCAAGCCCAGTCCCCACGTGCAGAAGGAGGGTGTCAGGGTCATAGGAACACTGGCAAACTGGAAGAGAACTCAGTGGTACTTATGGGCCAGGGCAATGGCGACAGCAGACACCAGCTTCTGCCAGGCAGCCTGCACTTCAGGGGTGAACTCCTTGCCAAAGTGAGTAGCCAGAATAATCACCATCACGTTACCCAGGAGCTGTTAGGCAAAAGACAAAATAACACATAAGCATGTTGAGTAGAAGTTTCCGAAAACAACTTGCTGAAAAAACAAACAAACAAAAACGGCTTTATACCTACATTCCTTGACAACCCTGACCTCAAACTGTTCCAAGGTTTGTGCCTACCCAGAAAATTCAGATAAGCTTAGGTTCAATTTTATTTTATGAGCCCTACATTCAACATTCTACCTACCTGCATCCTCACCCTCTCTTCCCATTTTACCAGTATTATTGGGCTCCCTCTCTCCCTATTTTTCTTTAAGCAGTTGTCTAATTTCTGTAAATGTAGAATGGGAGTGCAGCAAGAGTTCTCAGCGGGAGTTTAAAATCCCTAACAAATTCAGAAACAAGCCTTCACTTGGTTACAATACTGATGGGAAATTTAATATCTTTTAGAAAATGTGTCTTATTTTTCTTTGAGAAAATCTTTTATTTTTTTTTGCAAAAATCTCTTTCTAAACCTCAATTATCATGACCCACATAAAATAAGGCATTTATATTTCCTTGAAATGGACTTTCATCTACCAAAAGCCAAATTTCATTCTTCTTTCACAAGTCTACAATTCTATAATACAATTCTCCGGGATAAACACATCAAGTTCTGGCAAGATTTCCTGAAAAGTTGAGCCAATTCAGGCTGTTAGTAGTCCTTTACTGTCACTAGTTCTGAATCAGGTTAGTCTTGGTTATGCTCACTAGAAGTCTGCTGTTCTAACATCAAACTCGACCCATGATTTCTGAGATCTTTGTTGATCTTTCCAATAAGATCCTAAGCTTTAATTAATGTCAAACTATAAAGCCAAAAAATCATATCACCCACAACTGAACTCACCTTGAAGTTCTCAGGATCCACATGCAGCTTGTCACAGTGCAGCTCACTCAGCTTAGCAAAGGTGATCTTGAGGTTGTCCATGTTTTTAATAGCATCTCCAAAGGAAGTCAGCACCTTCTTGCCATGAGCCTTGACCTTGGGGTTGCCCAGGATGGCAGAGGGAGATGACAGGTTTCCAAAGCTGTCAAAAAATCTCTGGGTCCAGGGGTAAACAACGAGGAGCCTATGAAATGACACCATATCAAATACAAAATTAGAGATGCAAAAAATCTTGAGGACTTTCCCAATCAACTTGCTAGGGTAATATTCACCCTTCGCTCCCATGCATTAAGAACCAATGCTTACCTGCCCAAGGCTTCACCTCCAGTCTCTTCCACATTCATCTTGCTCCACAGGCTAGTGACGGCAGCCTTCTCCTCAGCAGTAAAATGCACCATGATGCCAGGCCTGAGAGCTTGCTGGTGACTGCAGCTGTGTCAGAAGCAGATATGTGCTACTGCCTCTCTTTATGGCCTTTTATTCTTTACTGCCAAAGTTCTGGCCCCCTGTTCTCCATGGTACTTAAAAGTCATTGGTCAAGGCTGACCTGTGTCCCTCAGGGGTGGAGTCAGGTCCGGAGAGGGTCAGTAGTGATGGATGGATAGCAAGTTTGTGATAATGTGTGCTGGATCCTGAGGCCCTTTTTTGTTGGCTCCTCATCTGTCTGCAACACAAATTTCCATTTGTCCCCTTTTTTACCTTCTTCATCATCTTCCAAAATGATATCCATCTATCCCATTCTCCATTTCCAAGAAAGCCTCATATAAAGGAGCAAATCTCAAAATAGGAAAAAAAGTTTCAGCCAAAGCACATTCAATATTTACCTTAAAGGTGGTGACAGTGACAAAAACAGGGCCAAGCAAAAGAAAATAAAGCTGTTAAAACAGAATCTCACCCAGTTCTAGCTCTCTTAGGGAGTGCATTGTAAACAAAACTTCTGCACCTTAGTTCCTCTAGGGACACAAAAACCATACATAGTTCCTTCTAGAAACTGAACAGAATAGCAAGTAGTCTACAGTGGGACTAAAACCTTAATCCCAAAGTACAATACCTTGGGGTGATTCCCTGGAGAGGACAGACAGAAAAGATTACATCCAATGCTTCCAGGGAATCCTCTCTCTTTTCATTTCTCTATGACCACAGGGGACATTGCCCACTTTGTGAGTATGGCCTGGGGCTCTCTTCTTGCTTGCCTGTCTGTCCTGCTTATACTTCTCACTGGGAAGGGAGCTGAGAAGCCTAAACTCCTAAAATTATTTAAAACCAAAATTTGTCATCAGGGAAAAAAGTGAATCGATATATTAATTAGGCTAGGAGTCAGGGTATATTATTCCTCTGGTGTCTTTTTTTTTTTTTTTTTAAATGTCCCCATTGTGATGACTTGCTAGCTCTTTACCTGGTAGAGCTGAAACTGGAAGTTGAGATTTACAGTGTATTCAATTTGATCCATGTGCCTGAAGAACATTGCCTATGGTATATCACTTAATCTGCCTTTATAATACCATTGTCATTATCCTCATATTTTAGAATCAAGGAATAAAGTCACAGAAGTTATTTAACTATCAATGTGACAGAAGTAATGATTGGGGGAATAACAGAAATAGAGTTCCACAAATTCCAGCATTGTTAATTCTAGAAAAGTCCCTTACATCACCATAATCTCATTGCCCCAGCCCAGTTCCTCCTTCTGGCTTGTTTTCCATCCATTTCTTTTCTTTATTTCTTTTTTTTTTTTTGTTTGAGGCAGAGTATCACTCTGTTGCCAGACTGGAGTGCAATGGCACGATCTCAGCTCACTGCAACCTCTGCCTCCTGCGTTCAAACGATTCTTCTGCCTCAGCCTCCCGAGTAGCTGGGACTACAGGTGTGCACCACCACACCCAGCTGATTTTTGTATTTTTAGTAGAGACGGGATTTTACCATGTTGGCCAGGATGGTCTTGATCTCTTGACCTCGTGATCCACCCACCTCTGCCTCCCTCTCCATGCATTTCTATCATTTCTTTCGCCTATGACTCCCCTTGCCCTGCCAGATCTGGGAATTTCTCTTCCTACAGTTTCCTACATCTTCAGGCCCTAGAGGTTCTTGGTCTTTTTTACTTAGCAGTATGGCTTCTGTCTCCCAAGTCAAGTGCCTTTGGGGATTCTATATTCCAAGTTTACTAAGAGTGTTTCTCTATTCTATAACCTGACCTTGTTATTTATTATATTTTCTTATGTTTGTGATTTAAAAAAAAAAAAAAAAAAAAGAACCACTTGTGGCAATTAAGAATGTCTCCCTTGCTTTTCTCCCATGATTGCAGAAGTCTTCACCTGACTTAATGACTGCCCAGATTGTTATTATTCCAGGCCACTGAATTTCTACTCCATTTTCTTTTAGCTATTAACCAAGGGTATCTTTCTGGACATATATTCTAACCATTGGCTAACACAGACATAACCAGGAATTCCTAAACTTGTTTTGTGTCACAGGCTAGTTTGGCAGACTGTAAGTGCTAAAAAAAATATGTTTTCTTGCATAAAATAATATACATTGGATTGTTAAGTTTAATTATACTGAAATACCATTATCAAACATCCAAACTTCACATTCGTGGTATAGTATTTATTATATTTGCTTCTTTATGAAAGCATTAGACCTAGGATTGGGTCTACAGCTACCTTAAGATCCAAGTAGTGATGCAGATGAATGTTAATTAAAAATATCTGCAATGGGCTGGGCACAGTGGCTCACACCTATAATTCCAGCACTTTGGGAGGCCAAGGAGGGCAGATCACCTGAGGTCAGGAGATCGAGACCAGCCTGGCCAACATGGTGAAATCCTGTCTCTACTAAAAACACAAAAATTAGATGGGCATGGTGGCGGGCGCCTGTAATCCCAGCTACTTGGGAGACTGAGGCAGGAGAATCTCTCAAACACAGGAAGGGGAGGTTGCAGTGAGCCAAAATCGTGCCACTGCGCTCCAGCCTGGGCAGCAAAAGCAAAACTCCATCTCAAACAAAAACAAAAATATCTGCAATGACTATGGTGTAGTATGAAAATATCTGTGGTTTCTCTTTATAACGATGTAATAGGTACTGATGATATCACTCTAGTTTGTTCTTTGCATTCAAAGTAGAAGAAAATGCTAAATTTCAGTTACATGTATGTAAAAATACAGATTTTTTTCTATAAACTTCACCAGCCCCCTAGTGTTCTGTGGACCCCAGATTAAGACTTCCTGGGACAAAATATATAGCCTAGGAAGACAGGATTCTAGGTTTGTAGAGAACATACTTGATCACTCAAGTAAAAGAATAATGAATAGACAAAAAGCTAGCTCAGCTGCTTGTAGCTTGAACCAAGCTGAGCTTGGCTACTCAGAGAAGAACAGTCCTTGAGATAACACAATTTCTTTAACCAATTAAGATACAGATCCGGGTTTTCAGGGGGAATTTGCTGCAGATGCACAGTATGAAGGCAGTGGCCCTTCCTCAGAACTTGAATGTGAGGGTCAGACATTGCCAAAGTCCAAGGAATAAGGACCAGGTCTCTCAAGGTCAAGAGTTTAGAGAACGGGTTTCTCCTAAAACAAACCCTATGGGTAATCCCATCATTCTTCCCATTCAGAGTGTGGACACCAGTCTTCTCTTAGATTCAGAGTATGGGGTTGATCTTCTCCTGCTCCCTCAGAGCCAGTTGCAGGGCCTACATTTTCTTTTCTTACAGGTTCCAGACCTGGCTTGCATCCAGGGATCTGGCCCATTCCATGCTTCCTGGTGGCTAAAGGTGGTAGGGAGGAGCTTCAAGAAAGGTTATAGCATTGAAAGGCCCAGGTTTGTGTCTCGGTAACAAGGCTTATAAATCCTGACTCAGAAGTCAGGTAGGCTGCAGGCAGTCTCATTATTGCTTCGATGCTTGTTGGTTCAAGATAAATTGCTTTACCTGCTCATTTTTAAGCATTTTATTTGTTTATCATAGGAGATACCATCAAAAATGGATTATTGCCTTTCTTTCCTATATTAAAAGCCCAAAGTTTAGAGATAAGTGTTATGGCCATCCAGGATAGATCAGAAAGAGTAGATAGTCAGAAAAAGTAATCAGTAAGAATATTCATTTATTGTCTATGTAATTAAAATTAGTAAAATAAAATCTATGTTTGTCTTAAGACATTTAAGTATAAAGGACTTTTAGAAAGAAACACCCAAATTTAATGAAGATTAATTCCTGCTTCTTTGGGTTTGCTTTAGCATTTGTAATTTCATAAGTTCTATGCAGGATTCTGAAAACTGTAAGATGCCTAATTTAAACAAAGAAACATCCAATATTTTCTCTCTTTTTTTTTTTTTTTTTTTTTTTTTTGAGATGGAGTCTCGCTCTGTCGCCCAGGCTGGAGTGCAGCGGCGGGATCTCAGCTCACTGCAAGCGCCGCCTCCCGAGTTTACGCCATTCTCCTGCCTCAGCCTCCCGAGTAGCTGGGACTACAGGCGCCGGCTACCTCGCCTGGCTAGTTTTTTGTATTTTTAGTAGAGACGGGGTTTCACCGGGTTAGCCAGGATGGTCTCGATCTCCTGACCTCGTGATCCTCCCGTCTTGGCCTCCCAAAGTGCTGGGATTACAGGCTTGAGCCACCACGCCCGGCCACATCCAATATTTTCTTAAATCTTTCTGGCTAATTACGACATGTATTTAACCTAAAGAGTCAAACATTGTACTGTTGTTAGATGCTATTAGTATGAAAAATTATATGAATTAGATTATTGTCAGGTAAAGTAGGCCCTTCACTTCACTGAATGTTTTCCATGATATTATCTAATAAATACTTTAATGAATATTCTTTACCACAAATAACTTACTTTATTTTTAATTTTAAAATAGGAAAATTGTTAACAAGGCTTGTAAACTACTGATGGGAAAAGGGCTGCTCAGGATTCTAAATTAGCCAGATTTTAAATTATTCTGCTTCCATTATTTTCTGAATTTATTTTCTCAGAACAGAAATAGATGTAAGCAAATGATTCTACTAGATTTTGTATTAGATTTTGCATTAGCCAGGAATGACTTAGATATCACAAGTCATAAATTCTGTGGCTGCCTTGCAGGAAGCCTGTGGCTATTTTCTAGTGTCATTGTAAAGAATGAGAGAATAGACCATAACAAGTGTGCAAACGGTTGCTTTCTTTCTTTCTTTTTTTTTTTTTTTTTTTTTTTACTTTTATTTTAAGTTCAGGGGTACATGTACAGGATGTGCAGGTTTGTTTCATAGATAAATGAGTGTCAAGGGGGTTTGTTGTATAGGTGATCTCATCACTCAAGTATTAAGCTTAGTATCCATTAGTCATTTTTCCTGATCCTCTCCTTCTCTCACCCTCCACCCTTTGATAGGCCCCAGTGTGCATTGTTTCCCTCTATGTGTCC